GATCTGTACCTACAATGCAAGAACCCTTGCTCTCGAATCCGCTGTAGAAGATCTATTGATTCAGGCAAGAAGGATTAGGTACGACGTCATTGGCCTACCTGAGACGAGGAGACGCCATCCTTTTCAGGCTGTTTATGACATCAGAGAAGAACTTTCTTTTGGAACATGCGATAGCAAAGGTGTCGGCGGCGTGGCGTCCCGTCAAATCGAATTTGACCATGAACATCGATTCGTTTGAACAACTAACAACTAGTATCGGACGATTACGGTTGAAACGAGGTGGTTTTATGCCGGCTTTGACCATCTTCGTTGCCTACGCACCAACAACAAGTTATGACGAAGACGAAGTCGAAGCGTTTTATCTGGATCTCGAAAAATTCTTCAAAAAAAGTTATACATTCTTCAAGGTCATTGTTAGAGATTTTAAGGTAAATTGGACCTAGAAAAACGTTTAAAGGACGTCGCATTGGGACCCACGGACTAGAATGGAATGAACAGGGTGAGAGAATATCTGAGTTTATCATGGCGACCCAAACCATCCATGGTAGCTCACAATTCCAAAAGCCTCACTCTCAACGATGGACGTGGGAGTCTCTCAATGGAGAATACCATTACTAAAAAGACCACATCTTAGTAAACTCAAGGTTTTGCCTGACCGATGTCGCTGTTGCTCCTAAGTTCTACACGGGATCAGTCCATCGCCTCCTTCGCGCAACGTTCCGTTTTTCGCAAAGAAGGAAAACTGCTTAATTCAAACAACGAATTGCCATAAACTGGGATGTATTCAAATCATTAGTCGGCTCTTGGGAAGATACCGTTGCCGACAACATCGACGAAGAATACGGCCGGCTCGTTAAATATATCCACGCTAGCGTCATGAAAGCCGAGAGTTCGAAGGTCACGAAGAGACCCTTGTCTCCGCAGACACTCGAGCTGATACGTCAACGTAGAGTCCTACGAGCTACAGGCAACCGAAACCTTACGTCCGAAGTTGCAAAACGCTGCAGACAAGCGAGAAAATAAGACCTCAAAGAGAGAAGAGCAGCAGATATGGGAGATGTTGCAAAAGCTGATAAGAGCATTTGCAAAGCTCAGCGAGGCTTCGCCAATTATAAGCCTAAGATGATTGCACTCTCCCTGACGGGACACTTACAGCTTCGAGAAGGGCTATGGAGAAAATCATCCACTAATACTACCCGGATCTTTTCGCTAGCCGTGTCCTCTTACCGTCATATAAATTGAAAGAGGACGGATATGTCGTTCTACCGGTCTCCTTTTCCGAGATCCGACATGTTATATCGTCGGTGATGAACAGAACAACACCCAGTCCAGTCAGGATTAGACCAAAACACCTGGAGAACCTTCCGCCAGTTCTCATCTCTGGCTCGGCTCTTCACTCGCTACCTGTCAGGATGCAAGGTCCCCATTCAAAGGAAAACCAGCAAGACCGTATTGTTGTTCAAAAAGAAAGACCTTCACGACATAGGCAATTATCGCACTAGCTGCTTCTTGTCCGTTGTTTATAAACTCTTTACTCACGTCATCCTAAACAGAATTGACAGAACACTGGACCAAGGAGAGCCATGTGAACAAGCACAGCTGCGAAAAGGTATTAGTACCATAGACCACATCCACACGATTACACGATTCGCTGAAGTTTCACGAGAGTAGAAACAACCACTCTGTCTCACCTTCATCGATCTGGAGAAAGCCTTCTATTCAGTGGAAACAGAAGCGATTATAGAGGCTGTGGATAACCAGGGCGTCCCTACTCGGTACATAATGATCCTTCGCGAGCTTTATAAAGATTTGACGACCAAAATATCTCCATTCTACAACAATATCACCATTGGCGTATGAAGAGGGGACCGACAAGGCGATATAATTTCGCCAAAACTATTCACTGCCACCCTTCAAAACGTCATGCGAACATCAGAATGGGAGAAATGGGAGTGAATTGACAGTTGACAATTAGACCATCTTCGCTTTGCTGACGATATCGTTCTCATAACACCAAACTCAACCAAGCGAAGCCAATGTTGACCGATTTCGATAGCGCCTGCGAAAAGATAGGTCTTCAACAAAATTTAACGAAAACGATGTTCATGAGGAACGGATGGGTTTTGGATGCCCTATTCACGCTCAACGGACCGACATTCTCCGAATGCTCTAGTTGCGTCTATCTAGGTCATAAAATCAACATGATGAACGACCTAGCTCCAGAGTTGAGCTGGAGGAAACGAGCGGATTGGGGAACGTTTAAGAGCATCGAAGATATAGCGAAAAGGACTAAGAACATCCGACTCCGAGCCCACCTTTTCGACACGACGATTATCCCTGCCCTAACGTATGCAGCAGAAACGTGGTCGCTACGTGAGCAGGATGTAAGGTCACTTGGCGTTATTGAACGCATAGTCGAAAGGTCGATGCTAGGAGTATCCCGTATCTCGCAAATGAGAGAAAGGATTCAAAGTTTCGTCCTACGTCAACGATAGCAAATCAGAGACGCCGTTGTACACGCCAGGATATCGAAAATAGGGTGGGCCGGACACGTGATGCGCTTCAACGACAACAGATGGACGAGAGCCGTTACCGACTGGATTTCGGGACATCAAGCGCTCTACAGAAAGACCACTGACCCGTTGGTCCGATTTATTCACGAAAGCTTTAGAAGAAAGATATGATGCTCAGCGAATCCCTAGAGCGAGGAGGACCCACTGGGCTACTCTTGCACGCGATAGGGAAAAATGAAAGTGTTGCTGGTACCGCTCGAATCACTCGACGATCAACAGAACGACAGGTGATACGGGTAATGTGTGAGGTCTCTTGTTTGAGCACTCCAATGACGATTCAGTTAGATATCCGTTTGTCGTCATACTGATCGACTTGTGATCGTTTCATTCCATTCTCGCAATTATCATCGCTCATAAAGCTTTTTCGCTTGTATTCGAACTATAGCTGCGCAAAATTTATGTTCAGCAACATAAACGATTGTGAAAGACGTCAAAAATAATTTTCGCGAGCTCTATCGTTGATTTTGCCTTCAGTTGATTGGCACAGCTTCATCAAACAATTCACAGAAATTTCCTTGAATAATTCTAGAGATTAGCATAGTTAGCAATCTGAGTCATGTTGTTCAATCCTTTGAGTCAGATGAAATTTGATTACATTTCCAGTTTGGTGATTACCATTTAGAAGAATATCACTACCATTTAGAAAAATATTTCTTGACTCTTCTTCCAAAGCCTGATGAGATTGACACCATACACCATGCCTCTTTTCGCTTCGGATATTACACCTCGACCGAAACCCTCATCACTTCTGTAAATTTTGTCCAGCTCTTATTGTGCCAACGTTAGGTTGGTATCAGTGTCGTTGTTCGTGTTGATATCGTTTCGACAGGATGAATGAGGTTTCGGGGACTTCGCCTTTTTCGGAGCGTTTTCGTTAGTTGTGAGACTCCTTCAAGCACTGGTATGATGTCATAGATATGCCCAACGATGTAGAGTGATGTGCAAAACTTTCGCGTCTTTAGGGATGCGAACCCACATTCCACCCTATACGTTTTCGCTTGCGCGAATCGTTGCACTACCAACTTCTGTTTTGACACCACTCTTTCTTGCTTACAGCGCATCTATCTGAATAGCCTTTGTTTTCTTTCATTTTCAGTCAGTGCGTCAGTAGAACGGAAATCAGTCACCAAGTTCTGCTAGTTTTTTTTCTTGCTTGCTCGACTTCACCAATCCCCTCAAAAAAAAAGTATTTTTGTAACACATCCATTTCGTTCATTGCAAAGATTGAACTTTTGCGATAAAATTGCACTCGAATCCTTTTTTTTTCTTTCAAAGCGTCAAAAAACTGTGGACAATAAGTAGGATTTTATGAAGGAGCAATAACTCCGTCAAAATAAGGCGACCAACAGCAGGAGCAGGTGGATTCATCCCGCGACGATCCACAGATGGGTGATTAAAACTCGTCATGATGTCTATAGAAGTCATCAAAAATATGTCAGGAAATATCGTAATCTTGCTCACTCGGCAAAATTCCAATTTTATTTGAATGATAGTGGAAAATGCGAACAGATTCAATGAAACCTCAGACACTACTAAATTTTTCATAATAGTTATGTTTCGCTCAACATCTATCCAGTGTTCATATTGTCTCGTCCTTTCATCCGTTGGCATTCCTTTGTTTTATATCGAATAATCCGGACTCATATTTGATTACATTGTAAACAAACTATTATTGATTCTGTGATTATTGTGAATTGATTCGCCCTCCTGGCACTTACACGGAAGCTCCCATTGAAGTGGCAGACGGAGTTGATGGTCGCGTAGGAACAGATAGACTGATGTAGCACTCAACAAATAAACTTTCCTCAGATTTTTCTAGGGGGTATTAGATATTGCCATACTAAGAGGGTTGTTGTTCTTGTTTAGCACGACCCTGATCGCGTTTCCTGTAGGAGAACCGGTTGCGTTATCTTGTTTTTCTCCCCGAAGAGTTCTGTGTTTATTAGTGAGAACAATGTTTTCTCTGCCAATGACTCATTTCGAAAAAGAACGCAAATAATAGCACCAGAGGTGACGCTGCTGTACCAAGTAAATTGAGTAATTGTGTTAAACTATTTCGGAATTCCAATTAGCCCACAATTTGCAATTTCTCTTATTTCAGCCGTAAGCCGTTAATTCAGACAAGACAGAAGCAGTTATGAAAGCTTAGCAGGGCAAGTGCATTCGTTCCTTCTTATATAGACGAGAAGTTTCTCCTATTATGCGCGTCTGAGTGAAATATTAGAATTGCTGCTCACCACTCAAGTCTTCTAGGTACATTTGAAACATCCTAATACTGCGAAAAGAGCAGTTAAAGCATAAAGAATCTTGAGTATTGTATATGCATAATGGCTGCCGGCTTAAGTGGGTTTAGAAAGCCTTATGTGCTTACCCGAGCAAAACCTGTCAACGGTTGGAGGCTGATAGCTATGATAGTGAGAAGCGGTGGTCTCGGTGGTGTGGTGGTAGCACACGCACCAGTATGAGTGGAACGCGGGTTCAACTCCCGTCTGAGATCGAGTTTTTGCTCAACACTCGTTCTCTTTAGTATATTCGAAAAACAGACATGGTGTTCAACTTGGCATTTGGACTAAGTGAGCGGAAAACGCGCAGTAAGGAAACTTACAAGATTATTACTGATGATTTGAACAGGACAAAAAACACCTCACTAGGTGTTCATCTTTCCGGCTCTATAACACCTCGTTCTTTAATGTGCACCCAAATATCGCGATGCTTTTTATGGATAATGAAGGTTCATCCAGCGTTCAATAAAATGAAACATTGTAAGATTAACAATGTCGAGTAACTCACATGCGCCAAGATGTTCAAGATCAAGTAAGCAGAACATGTGATATGTCTATGATGACGATAGGTAGACAAGGCTCCATAGCAAATGTTGAATACTTTTGGCTCTTGGACGATTTACGGAAAGAGGTAGCGCATCTGAACCACGAGTAAACTACCTTTTGGCACCCTCATTTTTCGCTTTGGGTAGGTTGAATCATTAAGGTTTAAGTGATCCAATAGTCAAACATGATTTGGTCTTGGCCGGCAATATTCTGCAATGTTGAACTATAACCTATAACAAGTGGACCATCTACATCTGAGACGTCTGAACAAAAGACGGTTCCATTATTCAATCCAGAAATCTAGCTAACTGTAATAACAGTACCATTAGCAATGCCTAAAATTACCGTTACGGTGGGAAGAAAAAACCGATGGAAAGATTGAACCGTTTGTCTAATCCATATGGACCGGTAGTGACCGTCACTATGGCCGACGACGACCTTTGCACGTCCTGGCACATTTTTTTCGGAATTCTAGCGAAAAAATCTGTGAAACCAGTCAAACGAGTTACTCCAAATCATTCAATCTAGGCATCCCTCGAATAGAAGGTGCACTGATTGAAGCCTTTATAATTCATTGTGAAGATGAGCTATTCGAAAAAATGTTTAACTGACTGAGTACGGTTTTGTTTTTGACTTACTTATTTTACTTCTGCTAAATGTTTTCAATCTTTTAAGACACCATAACAATCTGTGATAGTCGTCTTTCCGACTGGATAAATTAAGTAAAGTAATTAGTATGATGTAGTTCACCTATACATATACATATATAAGAGATCTGATAACAAATTTTGAGGCTTTCATGAGGTCTGTTATGGCACTTATACAGTGCAAGATACGTCTTCGACACTCCGGTCCCATCAGATGCACAGTGCTTTGCGTTCCAGCCTATTCCTTATAGGGAAGACTCCACACATATAAAGGAACCGATCATAAACAACAGGTGAAAAGAGCACCCGTAGTGCAATGTTTTACAGTCGATTGCTCGTGGCTGGTAAAATTTTTCATATAATACCTTCTTTCGGTCTGTTTTTTAAGATCTCGTTCAAATAATATAATCTGATAACATATTTTGAGCCTTTCATGAAGTCTGTTATATTACAATGGATTGGTTAAAACGAAAAGCACCGTGCAACCGATGAGACTGTAGGGCCGAAACATGTGTCTTGGCATTATATAAGTGCCATAACAAGCCTTGTGTATGACTCAAAATACGTTATCAGATTATATTATTTTGAGTGTGATCTAAAAAACAGTCCAAAAGATAAGCATATATAACTACATACAGGGTGCGCAAAAAGTTCTGTCACTTTTTTGAGATATTTCAACTGTAAAAAAATAGTTCATAAACAAATAAATTTATTTAAATAGAGCAATAAATTACGTTCACTATTAAGCATTTATAAATATAAGCTAAAAAGTTCATCGCAAATTCTCAAAATTGCCTCCTTTGCCTCTATACATTTACGAAGAAACTTACGAAAATTTTCAACGATGTCCGTACACGTTTCCACTGTAGCTTTGTCCCAAGCACGTGTGAAAACCGTGTTAAATGCCTCTAAGGTGATCTGGCAAATAGCCGAGACTTTTTCGTCCAGTATGGACCACACGGAGTGGCATATTGCTATGAGATCAAGCGAATCTGACTGCCATTTGCTCGTGCGCCAGAAGGCTGGATGACAGTTCTTGGCAGATGACAATAGTTGAGTGCGCCAAATGCGCAGGACCCCAATCCTGCTGGAGCCTAAATTTTTTGGCGCCAAAGTATTTAGTCCAAGGCTTCAGTACGCTCATAAAACTTGCCGCTGATAGCTGGCAGTGTTGATTTTGACTTTTCTGTTGACGAAGACCAACGATGTCTTTCCTCTAGCGCAAATGTCGGTCCAGACCATCTCAGAGGCCGCAAAATGGCTGCGGCTTGTGATTTTTGCTACTGCGAACTTCTGCTGAGCCTTCTTGAGAAGTTGACGTCGATTCTGCGATTACAGAACGGTTTGATCTCAAATATTTCCCCATCCGTAAAAGACACCTCTGACAAACAAGCACCAGCTAGCTGACAAGCGAATTGCTCGGCAGGCCTTTTTGAGCCGCTTTTCCTTATCTTTCTTTTCAAAAAATAAACACGAGCGATCTTGTAACTGCGCAGCTTCAGCTTATTTTTTGCAAGTATTTTGGACGATTCACTCGCTAATTTCGAGCTTCCCGAACCATTTTTCTAATCGAATGCTGCGGATTTTGTTGAACTTGGCAGCGGATCTTTCGAGACGAGGTGGTTGGAGTAGCTTTTCGAGGACGGTCCTCAGTCCCTTCAGTCTCACTGAAGCGTTTCATGGCTCTGTAAACACTTGATGCTTTGAAACCTGCCGATTTCAGCAATGTCAGTCGTTTTCATTTCCATCTTGTGCAACTCAGCTACTGCGACACGTTGATTATTACGATCCATTACTTGCGCACATTTGAAAATAGACAAATTAATAAAATTCAATAAAATTATCACCATCACTAAATTGTTATTATATCAATGCTTAAATTAATAAAATATAAAACTAAAAGGGTTTTCTACACACCCTTTTTTGATATAAAGCTATCTATGCGTGAAATCATCTTATTAAGGTGTTTTATATTATGTTTCGAAATTTTGTGCATGTGATTGATTATCAATTGTTAATTTGTGCGTAACTAGATTGATTTATTCTTATTTCTCGCTTAGTTTCTTCACCTGTTTGATACTTCATTAACACCTTTCACATTGAAAAGGATTACTATTGACAACTGCGATGAAACCCCGGACGGATCAGAAGCCTGCATGTCTCTGCAGGATTGACTTTTGACTCTCATTGGTACGTAATCATCCTACTCATGGTCAAATAGACTTGGATAAATTCAGACTTTACTCAGGACTCAGTCTGACCGATCTGTAGCAGCTTGAGCTTATAAGCAATGAAGGAGCTGTAGCTTCATTAGAGGTCAGGTTTGAGCCCTAAAAAATCGTTTAAAATGCAGTTCGCTAGAAAAAAGGTGGAAAGAGGTTTCGCTTTCAAACCTTCTTTTCTAGTAAGTGATGTTCATGATAACACTAACATACAAAGCTGGCGAATGACCGTTTACTTAATGTTCGTCCACTTGACGATCAGCAAAATTTTTAGCAATATGTGGTGACGAACTTTTATATAGTGGGCGGTTTACTCTTCTTTGAAATAAGAGGTATGTCGAAAGTCCAAGAATCCGAGAGTAGACGGTTTTGTAATGAGATGGTCGCTGTTTTCTCTTACAAACCTTTTCAGCTGTCCTGGCACGCTGCCAGGTCGTCTACTCCTCACCCGCGCTGACGATGTCTGATTGTGAAACGTAATCTAAGAATGTATAGATATCACCGAAGTTTCAAGGACAGCCAATTTTTTTTTCGCCATCGTTAGGCTATTTTTTAAAGAGTAAGTATAAGTATTTTTCAACACTTTCATTATTTTATACTACTTTTGATGGAAGTGTTCCATTGCATGACTAATAATTGTGCCTAAATGTCGCCAATAGATGTTATGGAACATATAAAAATTGCGTTCAAAACTTTTTCACTTGTAAAAGAAGACTTTTATTCTGTAAATTGTGTTCTATATGCAAACTACCGTATCGAAACATCTTCTTTCTGAGCTGTAAGCTTTACGATGTAAACCCATGTCAACTTCTGCTATTTTAGACTTCATGAACCCTTTCACGACCCTCGACAGGAGTTGTATCGTTGATATCTACGTGTACCCGTTTCTGTGCATATCTTTCGTTGGGTCAGGATAAGGTCACAGTGAGGTGATTTCTGTAGATTCTCGTTTCATTGTGCGGTTTTTGGAAGGGAAGGAAAAAAAGGAAATTTTAAGCCTGGAAAAAGAGCCAATTGGTTGGCCCATGTACGAAAAAGTGTACACGTTGTGAAGGGGTTAAATGCTCATGTTACCGTATGACTAACCTCCAATGGTCTCCGCTTGCCTGGCGCGATGCCAAACTCAAATCACCCGAGCGCAGTCATACAATGTGGGTGCGGCGCCTGGCAGCGAATACGATGGAGCCTTGACCGGAGCGGCTTAACTAAAAGGTCATCTTGCGTGGCTCCTTCTGTGTGTCATGTGATGCCGAAATTTCACGCAAAGTGCTTTTAACCTTAGATACTGTAACGACACAGTGGCGATTTGTTGTGAGGGGTATTTAGGTGAGCTGGATCCATATATATCGCCTACTAGGCGGATTTAGGCAGAAGTTATCGTAGCCTGAATGCATTTTTAGAGGAGCCTACTGAATGACCGCTTTTAACCGAGCATATTAACTAACTACGGTAGGACTCTGTAAGTTTGCATTAACAATTTATAACTACGACACAAAGATTAGTCATCGTAGGTGATCTGATCCATTAGCAGATTAATGTGTCCGATCGGTAAGTGACAGTGTGACCAAAGCAATTGCATCATTCATTCATTTATCGTCCTTTTGCAGTGTATGATAGTGATCTTGCCTGGTACCGTGTCATCAACATCTGGCGGTACCATGTTGCTCTTTTCCCGCTAAGTTCATTTGAATTGATGACGACGGACAAGTGATGAGACAGTTCTTTCGACCTTCTGCGGAGGTCACGATTTCTGGCATACCATTGCGATGCGCAAGTACATGAATGAGAAAAAAAGAGGAA